ACTATTCACACTAATGTGTGTCAGGTTTCTCAGAACAAATTAGAACCTATCTACAAATTGCTGTATGCAAAAGGCATACACTTTGAGCTAAATGACAGTGCTCTGAATAATGCAGGAATTTGTTTCAACTACCAGAACTGGAATGAACATACAGGTGTTCCACTCAAATATCTAGATTTAGAAAGTAACTTTAGCTATGAAGTATGCTATTCTTCAGAAGTCAAATTGAGTTATGTTATCTAGGAACTTGTTGGACTGGTTGCTTTCTTTATGCAAGCACCCGCAAGCTGTAGATCGAAAGAATAGTATTCTAGATAGCTTCAGATTTCTGGTTGGGAGTTTACTCCATTTTTCCATATTTACTCACTAGGGAAAATGTACATCCTAATTGTTATTTTTCCTTCTAGTGTACTTATTTACTATACAATTTTATATGAGAGGCAGGCTTAAAACTGCACATCTCTACAGGGAGAAAATGTTCCAAGACACAAAAAAATTGGGAAAACTAAAGCGAATGCCTGCCATAGATGCAAGCAAAACGTCAGGAGAGAATGCTTCTAGCACATGGCCATATAGCTTGAAAAACCTATAACAATCCAGTGATTAGGGCCATGAAAGCATTCAACAATACATTGACTGTTTATTATTGGAGATGGCAGCCTGTCACAAAACCTGTTGCAATAGCATAATCTTTTAATCAAACATACATATCCAAACGTATTTTGTGGTGGCATCTTGTAATTACAGTACAGGCAGTACCCGGGTTACGTGCAAGATAGGTTCTGTAGGTTTGTTCTTAAGTTGAAATTGTATGTAAATAAGAACAGATATATTTTTAAAATTTAACTCAAAGTATTTTTGTGGTTTTGGATAGTAACATTTGTTTTGCTGTCATGTCCCTGTTCTGAAGATTTCACTTCCCTTACTTTTCTTGTGACAATTACATTTTGAAAATTTGGAGTTGTCATGGAAACAAGGTTTGGTGATAAAGTTTCAGTGGGGACACCTGTTACCCACGATAATGGTTACTGGAGTGAATTTCCCTTGCTAGGGGTAGGTTTAATCTCACTTCCTGTTGTCTCAGGGATAGGAAGTGAGATCAAATCTTTCTACAGACAGCAGTAAAAAATTTATATTGGCTCTAACCCCACACCATACTAATAAAAACTAAGAAAATTAAAATTTGCATGGAGTTCTACTTTAAATACAACTTGGACAATGTTTGTCTGGCAATATTATATATTTTATTGATGTATGTAAAATGCTTCAACATTTTCAAATACTGCAAAAAAGCCTGGCATGTGCTGCTGGCTGGCACACCTGCTCCCAATCCCATCTAGTGCTGCTAATGTCCACGTTTGTAACTTGGAGTCAGATGTAGGCCTGATTATGTAAATCAGGGACTGCTTATGTGGACTTCTTTTTTTTTTTTTTTTGGTAAAAGAATGGGTTGCTTATCTGTAACCGTGTTTCTTCGAGTGGTCATCAGTGAAATTTGCACGTATGGGTTTCCTGAACATGTGCAGATAGTTTTGGAACTCTCTAGAAGCATTTTGGCAGTAGCCCCGCCCACTCTCCCCAGATGGTATATAGGCAGTGGAAGGGGCTATAGCCTCAGTTCTTCAACCATTATGGAAGCAGCTGTATATACCAAGGCATGACGAACAGTGGGGAAGATGGGTGAGGATGTGCAAATTTCACAGATGACCATTCGAAGAAACATGGTTACAGGTAAGCAACCCATTCTTCTTTGTGGTCTCTGTAAATTGCATGTATTGGAGACTAGCAAGCTACTGACTTTGGAGGTGGGTCATATAGGAGAAGAGTACAGCTCTGCCTAAAACAGCATCTCTTCTGGGGAGGATGTCCACCTTGTAATTAGAAATGACGGTTAAGTGGTGCAGACCAGGTAGTAGCATGGCACATGTCCTCTAGGGCAGGGATCCTCAAACTGAGGCCTGAGGGCTGGATGTGGCCCTCTAAGATCATTTACCCGGCCGTCGCTCATGGTCAACATAAGTTTGAAATGACTTGAAAGCATACAACAGCAACAATCCTATCTCATCAGCCAAAAGCAGGTCAACACTTCCCACTGAAATCTTAATAAGTTTATATTTGTTAAATTTGTTCTTCATTTTAATTATTATATTGTTTTTAAGTGTTGTTTTGCACTACAAATAAGATTCATTCATGTTTTTTTCAAATTATAATCCGGACCTCCAACAGTTCGAGGGACTGTGATCTGGCCCTCTGTTTAAAATGTTCAAGGGCCCCTGCTCTAGGGGTATTCTCCTCAAAAAGGCCTAGGAAGTCACCACCGATCAGTGGTCTTCAATCTGAGTTGAAAGGTCCCAACTCGCAAGTTGGTAGGCGAGATGGATTGTCTCAACAATCCATGAAGAGAGGCATTGTGCCCACACTGGGAGGCCGATAGCATCTTGACGGTATTTCAGAAAGAGCCTGGGCGATTGTCTGTGTGCATGTGTCCTATACACATAGAAAGTAAGGGCCCTCCTAACTCCCAGGATCCCATAACATTAAGCCAGGGCAATTAAAGTGGTGTCAAGCTGTATTCTGGGACTCTGTTTACTAAATCTAGTCCTAAATCTAGACTTTGTATTTCTAGGCGCAAAGATTACTGCAGATGCAGACTGTGGCCAGGAAATCAGAAGACGCTTACTTCTTGGGAGGAGAGCAATGTCCAGTCTCGATAAAATAGTAAAGAGTAGAGACATCAGACTGGCAACAAAGATCCGCCTAGTCAAAGCCATGGTATTCCCTGTAGCAACCTACGGATGTGAGAGCTGGACCTTAGGGAAGGCTGAGCGAAGGAAGATCGATGCTTTTGAGCTGTGGTGTTGGAGGAAAGTTCTGAGAGTGCCTTGGACTGCGAGAAGATCCAACCAGTCCATCCTCCAGGAAATAAAGCCCGGCTGCTCACTGGAGGGAAGGATACTAGAGACAAAGTTGAAGTACTTTGGCCGCATCATGAGGAGACAGGAAAGCCTAGAGAAGACAATTATGCTGGGGAAAGTGGAAGGCAAAAGGAAGAGGGGCCGACCAAGGGCAAGATGGATGGATGGCATCCTTGAAGTGACTGGACTGACCTTGAGAGCTGGGGGTGGTGACGGCCGACAGGGAGCTCTGGCGTGGGCTGGTCCATGAGGTCACGAAGAGTCGGAGACGACTGAACGAATGAACAACAACAAGCTGTATTCACTCTACAGCATAGATTGTACTAAGGACGCTGAGGCAGGATAAAGATTAGAGGCTCCTTGCCAGCAGGGTTACCTATTTTTCTAGTTTTCCTTTGAATTGCTGGAAGATTTGGTGTCCTAACATTTTGGTTTCTAAAGAACCCACTCTAAGCAGACAGCAACTGTAATGCATAGCTTTTTTGGCCAAATTTCAAAGAGTACACATTTTGCAGCTGTGCATTACATTTGCAAGCAAATATGTTTTTTGGTTTCAGGGTTTTGAAAATTGAGGTGTGCATTACATTTGATGCTGATTTAGATTAGAGTAAATACGAGTATGATTTTTTTTTCTGTGCAGTCAGCTATTCTTTGAGCTAGGAAGGCATATTAAACCCCAGGATTCCCCAGAATTGGTACTCTTCTTTCTGTTTAGAAGAAAACATTGTCCCTGTAAAGAACTAGAGTATATTTTGCACACATTCTCTCTCTCAGGTCTGTAAAAAAATTGGCAGTTGTAAGGAGCGGAAATTAAATAGGCCAAATCTCTTTGAGCCAGATAGGTTTTTAGTATCTCACTCCGGGTTTATGATAGGGCACCTTTCCCTCAGAGCAAGTAGCAAAGCAGAAAAGTCTCAAGTTCCTTGCCTCCCATCAGCATGGTGGCAAGTTGCAGTCCTTTTCTTCCTTTTTCTTTGACTCTGGGTTGTCTCTGTCGTCTCCTTCTGCTATGGAGGGAAAAACTGCCTACCCTGCGCCATTTATTTCCCTCATTTATGTGGGAGAAATCTTCGCTATGGAGACCCACAACAACTTCAAGGTGAAGCTATGTTTCTCCCTCACAAGTGAAGGAAATGAACAATGGTGAGTTGGGGATTTCCCCACTGGAGAAGGAGATGGCAGAGGCAACCCTGAGGCAAAGAAAAAGGAAGAGTGAGATAGCCAAGTTTCTCCCTCACAAGCAAATTGTCAGTTTTGCTACCAGATGATGAGACAACGGAGGCAAAGAGAAAGGAAAATAGTCAGAAGCAAGAAATGAGCTCCTTTTTCTTCACCACAACCTGAGCCCAAGATTCCAACCTCACTGAATAAAGGTCTGATACCCCTTAAAATTTCATCACAACCCCCCACTACTTCAACCTCAGTCCAACAACCTTCCAAGGCAGTGTTTCCACTAAGACCAGCAATTCCAGAATCTTGTCTGGATCTATTGGTTGTTCTTTCCTTTTTTCCGTGTCAGGAGTGACTTGAGAAAATACAAGTTGCTTCTGGTGTGAGATAATTGGCTGTCTGCAAGAACATTGCCCAGGGGATACCCGGATGTTTTGATGTTTTATCATGCTTTTCTCATGTCCCTGCATGGGAAGCCAGAGATGACAGAGGGAGCTCATCCGCGCTTTCTCCGGATTTGAACCTGCAATCTGCCGGTCTTCAGTCCTGCTGGCACAAGGATTTAACCCATTGCGCTACTGGGGGCTCACTGTATTGGTGATGCCCCCTTTGTCACAGATGAGCTTTGCAACTTTGTGCATACAGAAAGGAAACATGTAGATGGAAAACACTTGGAGGAGGGAATGGCGGGTTCTCTGCAGGCCACACCAAATCCTTGTGAGGGCAGCAACTGGCCCTCAGGACGCATGTTATGCATGCCTGCTCTAGGCTGAGGTTTTGTACTTTGCTGCCCCCTAGCCTTGTCACAGCCCTCTGTCCTGTATAATAATTCCTTCTTTTTTGGGAGCAGCATGGACTAAACTGCCTGTCTCATACACCCAGGTGCAGTGAAATAACTGGCTCAATGAAATCAGATTAAGTGGAAATGCCTATAAAAGGTTCTAAGATTTTATTAGGTATTAGAATTGAAACATAAAGATGAAATACATAACATTTATAATAATTCCATTTAAGAGTGTTGTAATTATGATCCCGATTATATCTTCAAATAACACAAATACATTGTTGCAATCAACAAAAAGATATGTTTTAGCACCAGAAAAATGTAATATTTGCAGTTAAGTACATTAATCCCAAAGAAATTTAGCAATGGTTTTATATTTATTCAGACATTGTAGTTTAGCATTTAAAATGAGGTTGCATTTTGATGGCATGCCTTTCTTAAAATTTGATCTTTGTAAAGTTTGTATCTCTATTATGATGAAACCTGCAGAATCGCCCCAAAAATAGAGATCTATGAGCATTTCGACTGTTTTCTTCAGTGAATAAACGCAAGATCAATTTGAATAAAGAAAGGAATATTCTTATTTAATTTGCGAAGATTAACAAGAGCTTACTGTAGCCATTGTCTTCATATGTTCCACTTTAAAAGTTATTGCTAGAATAGTTTCAGTGTATAAACTGTGTAATTTGGATTAGTTGTAATCATAAATGCAAATTATGAGTTAGCCACTAACCTAAAAGATATTTAAAATGGAAACTTTAACAAAGGTTTCACATATATCATTTTCTATAATTGGACGGATGTGAATTGAGTGCAGCAAATCTATTATGAGAATCTTCAAACTGCCAGTAAAAGATAAAGATCTTCCCAGCATTATGTAAACTCTCTTTAGTAAATAAGTAAAATATCATTTAGAAAACAAATTAGTTGATAAATCTGTAGGACTTAATAAAATTTAACTGCAGTTACACACTTAATATAGTCCACTTAAAAGTTACTGCTAGCATAGCTTCATCTTATATGGTAATCATTTGGATTTTTTTGAAAATTGCAAATACAAATGTAAATGTTACTGCTTGCTATTAAAAGATCTTTCTAGAAAATGCAGAAACATTTATTAAGGCATTGCATGTATCATTTTTCAGATGTCAGTTTCATGAAATTCTGCTTTAATCAGCAGGTAATCCAAGATCATGCCATTTACAGATTGGCTCTTTCCTTTCCAGTTTGATCTGAAGTTTGGGTATAAGTGTGTACATAACCCTAGGGAGAAAATGATAACATCAATTAAGAATAGAAGTAGACAGAGTTGTTGTTTTTTAAAAAAAATAAAATAAATAAAACAGGAGGGATTTTGACTGTATTTTCTTTCAGTAGGCTATTTTCTTTTTTAAAAAAATATGGCAATACTTCACATACTTAATTCAAACACATGTTTAGGAACATGTAAGTTAAGTGTGAAACTTATATTCAACATAAATACAGTACTCTTTAAAACATTTGTACAGTTTTGCGTTTTCCAATAAAAATGTATTTTCCCTTATTTAACTACATCGTCTTATCCCTTAAAGTCAATGCGTAACAATAAAATTAACAGACCATTCAGAGTGGAATCTTATCCAACCCTGAAGAGTTTTAGATGCTAAAGGATGGAAAAGAAGCACAAAATAAATAAAGAACCCACTCTAAGGTTTGGTATTTAGATGTACCATCAGCCCTAGCATCAACTTGTCTGCATGGGTTTTAGGAATGTGCAATGTATTGCAGTCATTACTTTTCCTGTTTCTCCTCCAAGAAGAAAAATCATAGCTTGGGGAAAGAAGGAGCAACAGGTCACAGGAACAGCTGTGTGGGGCAGTCCTATATAGGGTCCTGTTCCACAACATACAGCCCCAAATGACAAACAGATCACAAAAGCTTAATGATGTACCTAAAATGATTCAAATGAGTTAACCTTCAATGCAGCACTAGTGGACATTCGGAAAAACATAGCTCTGTACTTGCAGAGTTACTCCTCAGAATCCTTAAAGTTTTTTCCCCAATTAAACTAGGACTGCTAGATTTTATGGAGGGCATCTCCATGTATAGTTATCTCTTCCCATTTTCCACTCCCATTCTACAGCATTTCACATCTTAATGGCTTTAGTCAACGTTCCCTTGTCTTCTCCTTCTACACAGCAGTCTGAGATGAAATAGCTCTCATACCTTTTTGGGACCTTTTGCATTGTGCTTATCCAAGTGGGCTTGAATGCGTGCACCATAGTCAGGATGAACATCAGTGAAGTTCTTCACCTGGACCACCAAAGGAGATTGAAGCAGACAGTTATTTCTTCTTCATTTCCGGCTGCTGTGTCAACTCTAGAACTTATGTAGATTTGAAACTTCAACATGTCCAGCTTACATTAGGTTCAGCTACTGATTGGATATGAATTAATATTACTGGTATGGTATTCCAAATTACTACATAGAGAGTCCCTGAGTTACAAACACCTGGCTTACATGCAACGCCCAGTTATGAGCATGCCATGAAATCTTAGTGCTGAGCCCAAGCATGTCTGTATCTCTCCACCACCCTTTCCATTTTTCTTCCTGTCAACATCTCTTCAAACCCCCTTTCCTCTTTCTTCCTATCGATATGCAGATGTCTTCTTCAATCTCTGTATCTCTCCACCCCTCCTTCTCCTTTCCTTCATGGCTGACTCCCCTTTTAATTGTCATGGCTATGCAATCATAGGCATCAGCATTGATGAGGCAGCAGCATTCTTTGGTAGAGAAGGGTAAAGACTTTGTAAAACTACAGCCTCCACGATTCCACAGCATCGAACCAGGTCTGTTAAAGTGGTGCCAAACTGCATTTATTCCACAACCTATGTACATCCCAAGGAAGCTGAGGTGGACTAAACAGGAGAGGTTGCTTGAGGGAAGGATTACCTTTGCTGTTCTAACAGTTTGGTTTTTAAACAGGGAATTCTAAGCATGTGGCCACTAGAGTGTACAATTTTGGGCCAAATTATAAAGAGTGCACTTTTTGCCGCTGTGGTGCTCCCCTATCCAGGCCTGTTCCAACTTAAATAAAAATTAATCTTCAAAACGAATCTACAGAACCTATCTTGCATCTAACCCAAGGACTGCCTACATACTATTCAGATTTCCATATTTCTGTGTTACCATGCAATATTGTAAGTTTATTTAGCATGTCTCCTCTCCCCCCTGTTAATTTTGATCAAAGGCAATCTATGGTGTGGAATGGGACCAAATTAGTCCAAAAATAGACACAGGTCTCACTTTCAAAAGTAACTGTATTATAGGCTGTGTAGTGTTCTTTTCCTCTCTGAAGCACCCAGTAGTCAGGGAATAACCTTAAATTTCTTTACAGCTACATTAGGCCATAAACTGACAATTTATTTTTCATCTGATAATTTGATAATAATCACACACTTACTCAAGTGCAAATCCCAATGAAAGCAGATATTATAGCTTTTGTGGACAGTAGAATAACTGCGAGTTATCGTACTGCTACTGATGCTTTCACTATTATTTGGTCCTTGTGTTTAAAAGATGTTTTGGAAACAGCTTGAACCTATATGTTTTTAATACCTTTTATCTTTTTACTTATGCATTCGTCCTTTCTGTTTTATATTTCTATACATCCTGCAAACAGTGTGCCCCCTCTGCTCCTAAAATGTTCACAGTAGAAGGCCTTACAAAATCAGGAGTCAATGAATATTACAGTTTATGACTTACAGCTTTCTTTTGAATGAAAAGCTGAGCATCCTTAAGATGGCCAGCAATGTTTTCACAGAGTCTTGCTCTTTCTTCCTCTGTCAACACTTTGGTATAGAAGTCTCGCACCTTTAAATAAAAGTTGAAGACAATTTTTCTATTAGTGATATAACTTGCACTCCTTAGCACTTAATAATTTTTTCTAAAATAAGATTTAAAACTGTAGACCTCATGTTGCATCACTAAAGACATTAATCACTGCCATTACTACAAGGAAGACAAATAATGGGTATCAGGCATATTCTTGAAGATTTCTCTCAATTTGTCATTTGAGATATGCTTTTTCTTTATAACTTTGGTCCACATACCAAACTAAATATATAGGGAGTCTCAAAAGCGATGGACTTGATTTGAAATTGCTCTATCTCTGTATCCACAAATCACCCATTAATGAAACACTGAGGGTGAGTTTCAAATAATTGCAGCTAGATGCATCTCCCAGAGCACAAACAGTCCCTTGCCACATCTGCAAGGTGGTGGCACTACAACAGAAGACATTTTGTGTTCAACTATCATCTCAATATTGTCCGTATAGCAAGTGGAGGGTCTACGGAGCATTTATAAAACAGTTTGTAAAACTTAGCAACTAATTGATTAATCTGTTGGTAACTTTTTGTTTAATTGTAACATGTTGCCATCATGAAATATACTGCTTTGAAATTCATCATTTTAAAATACCCTGTACTTTAAAGTTCATGCCTACAGATCATCGCACTCTTTAACAAGGCCCCAATCTGGCACAAGAAGAAAATTTCAACCCACATTTTTTCTCTAAGACACTATTTGAATTCAAAACACAACTGAAGCCCATCTTTTCTGGCAGGCCTACTCAATCAACTTTCAATCATGAGTTTTGATTTACATTCTATTGCTACTACATGTCAATTCTGCATCTGTGTTTGGTGCAATTTATTTTATATTTTTGTGTTTTTTTATCTATGTATTTTAATGTTTATATTTTTACGTTCATGTTTTTCACTTTCCTGTACCCTATCTTGAACCATCAGGAGAAGCAGGTATTATTATTATTATTATTATTCCACAAACGTCTTCATATGTGTTCTTGAAGGAGGAAAAATGCATGGAAAGGGAACTACATTTGCCCCAAGTACTAAAGGGAAAGCTTACTAAGTGGGTTGTTTAAATACTAGTCTGTGTACCACTTTCTGAAAAGATACATACAGTACATAATTTAGGTGGAACACAGGTGTTTTCAGAACAATTACAAAGAATCTGCTCACTCTCAATCGCCATGACCTTCTGCAAGGATGGCAAGTCATTATTTCTATATTTCGCAGTTAACACAGTATGAAAAATGTACATTGAAAATTTTAACTAATAATAATAATAATTAAAAAAAAAACCTTTATTTATATTCCGCGCTATCTCCCCTGCGGGACTAAGGGTGGATTCCAACAAACAAAAAGGCAAACATTCAATGCTTCAATGACAATAAGTGCAAATATAACAACCCAGAAAAACCCCACATAAAAGACATCTTAAACACAACAACTTAAATAAAACATAATCAAAATTATAACTAACATAAAACACTGATTTTATGTATAATGGAGATATATTTTTTGATTGTGTTCACTAACACATTACTACTGCATTTTGGTCCTTAAAATGTAAATAATAAGCATAGAAACTATATATATATATATATATATATATATATATATAGTTATAATATATATTTATATTTAGAGAGAGAGAGAGAGAGAGAGAGAGAGAATATACTATGTTGAAAAAAGGTGTTATGTTTTTCAGGATCAATGTTCTTTCACAGAATAATAGAGTGTATGTAAGCTCTAGAGTAAGGGGTTCTCAAATTTTTAAAGCTGTGGAGTCCTTTTTGAAGGAAAAGTTTTTCGTGGAGCCCCAATAAACTTTTGGACACAGGGGCTGCATTGCATTTTAAAATTTGCCAGATGGGCCGGGGCAGTGGGGGATGGAAGGAGAATATTTGTGTGAACTAACTGAAAAAAACATGCCCATATCTTGTTTGTAGTGCAAAAGAAAGAAAGAACAATATAATATTTAAAATTAAGAATCATAATCTTAACAGCATTTCATTGGAAGAATCCAGGGGCCATCCAGCCCAACCTCCTTCAGCCTTGCAGGAAAAGCACAGTCAAAGTGGTGGTGGGAGGCTGTGTAGGCCGCGGCAGCAGGCTTCCGAAGGCTGCAGGCTTCCTAGGCAGGAGGGAATGGGGGGAGAGGGCTGTGGAGCCCCTGAATGTGCTTCATAGAGCCCTAAGGGCTCATCGGAGCACAATTTGAGAACCACTGTTTTAGACAAAAAAACTACTGAGGCATTTGGAAGATTTACTTCATTAAAAAAAAAACAATCCAGTTTATACAGGGATCTCATTCCCAAAGCAATATATATGACCACTTCTATTCTGCTTACCTGAGACACATTATCCTCATTTGCACTATTGAAGCGCTGTACATCACCTGAAATATTTGCACGGGTCTCCTTCAAATTGGGTTGCTCTTCAGGGCCAGTAAAACTGTTTGGATAATAGTTTGGAGCCCCACCTACAGAAAGTTGTTTATTTTACTATTACGTATTGTGAACGAAGCAGAAAATCAAAATAATAAAAAATATTATTTATACCCCTTTATACCCGAAAGCAGCTAACCATAAAAACCATAACAATGTGTGAAATAAAACATTAAAATAAGATTAAACATTGGAAGTATTAAAAATCAACCATTAAAATCATCAAAACAATTTGAAACACATACATTCACTACACAGCATTGTCCTAAAACTTTCTTCTCTAAAGTCTCCCTGAAAAGAAAGGTTTTAGCCTGTTGATGGAAAGATGGCAGAGAGAGGACTGTTCTCACCACCCTGTGCAGGGAGTTCCAGAATCAAGGGGCAGCTACCAAGAAGGCCTTCTCTCACATGCACCAACCAAGCCTGTGATGGAGGTGGGGGCAAGATAAGGGCGTCTCCTGAAGATCTTAGGGCCTGGACAGTTTATACAAAGAGATGTGGTCAATCAAAGAGCCTGAACTTGAGCTGTAACAGTTTTAAAAGTCATAACCATCACTTTGAATAGTGCCTGGAAAAAAATTAGCAGCAGTGGAGCTGCTGTAAGAGGGGGGTTGTCCATTCCCTGTAACCAGCCCCACTTTGAAATCTGGCCACAGCTCTTTGGACCAGTTGACGTTTCCAAACACTATTCAAAGGCAGCCTCACATATAGTATGTTATAGTAATCTAAATGGGATGTAACTAAGGCATGTACCACAGTGGCTAGCTCCAGCATCTCAAGGGACAGGCACAGTTGGTGCATAAGTTCTCAACATGCAAAAGCACTCCTGTCCATCACAGAAACCTGGGACTGCAAGTTCAACATCAACTCCAAGAGTACCCCCATTCTGTAGACCTCTGTCTTCAGGGGGAGTGAATGGGAAAGATTTTTGAATGGAAATATATTAATATTAGCAGAATCAAGGTCTTGAGCAGTCCTCATTTTAATAATTGAAAGCCACTAAATATTACAAGTCTTTAACCAAGGGAATTTAACTCTCCTTCTGAAGAGCTCTTTTGCATTATTAAAAATACTTCCAAAAGTGATACCACAATTACCTTGGTTGTCAGATATGCACATGAACCCATCTCTCTGGTAGTTGGCCACTCGAACTCGGCATGGGCAATTTACAGGAATCTGCAAATAGTTGGGTCCCAGGCGGTGTCTATGGGTGTCTGGATAGGAAAAAAGACGCCCCTAGAATAGTACATTAGAGAAAAATGTGAGTGTGGGTGATTTCTTTTTCAGTTGGTTTCAGACAGTCATTTTCTGATTTTTGCATTGCAGTTTTAACCATGGATGTATCAGTACTTGACTCTGCTAATGCTCCTAACAGCTGTAGGCAGAAAGGTATAGTTAAAAGAAGGTTATAAACATAAAAGAAGATCAAATCAAAGTTGCTAGAACAAACCAAATGTGCTGTTTCGTATATGATGTGCTGTACTTGAGATTGCTGAAAGCTTTAGGTTATATATTAATTTTAGGGGTGTGTGAAACCACACAAAATTAATTCTGTCTTTGGGTCCCATCCCTCCACCACCCAAAACGCAAACAGAACTCAGGGTTCCGAATTACCAATCAAACCACACCCCCTCCTACCCTCCTAATCTTTCATAATCTTCTCGAAAACAGAATGGGGGCACCCAAAATTCAAAATGAAAACAGAACAGACTCGCACACCCTTGCTTTGATCAAGCACATCCTTTCACAGATAAGCTTGCCAACAGATAATTCAGCCAAGCACAATCACCTGCAGCCACGAGAATTCCATGGTTTCTTAAATTGTCTTTAACACAAACTATTTGATGTTTTAATGACATGAAAACCTTGCATTTCTAGAGTCTGAAATGGCAGTACATCAATTTTGTTATATCTCCCTAGAAAATACAAGCACCATGCATAAAATATTACAGATGAAACATTTTGGAAGTATACTTCGTATGTCATGAAATCACAATGAGATAGTTAGGTCTAAAACAGGTGACTTTAGACATTCCACCCACACCTTTGAACTGTATACCAGAGTTCCCATAGCCCTTGGTACTGCATACACTAGTGACCATTTTTGCTATTACATTTATACTCCCAAGGACAAGGAAACAAATGCCTTTTCTCCTTCTCAATAACTCTCTGGGGTAGCTTTGACTAGAAGAGGATGGCTGGGCAAAAGTACCTGACAAGTGTTATAGCACCCTGGAGGATTTCAACCTGGTTTTCCACTTCCCAAGTCAATCAAAAAATCACATCACTTTGATATCAATACACATTAGTAAGTGCCCTCTCCAAATTCCTGTTTTATAATTTAGCAACTTAATAGTGGAAACAGCAATTAAGGGAAACCTCTGTTATCTTTTTATAGGGCAATGCTGATCAAAGCTACTTACAATGGTAACTGTTTCTTTCCTGCTGGTTTAGAAAAAAAGAATTCCCTGGTTTATTAGCATGATAAATATAAATCCAGTTTATATAAATGGATCATACTTGCACTGGCTAATCTGATATGCTGAATTAGCCTCTCTAGGAATGCTCTTCTTTTAGAGAACTAGCCCTGAATTGTAAAATGAAGCTGGGATGTCCAACAGATATTTCCCAGAAGCCCATTGACAACAGAGCATTGATGATTCCCTCTTTAGCCTGGATCTGGTTCATTAAAAAGAGAAATCATACCTCAGATGATTCTAGTCCTACGACAGGCTTGGCTAATTATTAATCTAACAATAATGATCACCTTTCTTTTTAAACAGTTTAATATATTCTATGTTTAGTGTTAAATGAGAATGATGGTAGATAGGTGAGGAGGGGGAGAACATAGAAAATTAGAATTAGAAAATTGAGCCTTGTTGACTTTTTCACCCTGATGTACAGTGATATTGTTTCCCACTGCAGTAAAGTTTAGAAGAGCTTAATATGAGCATATTATATCAAAGAATGTATACCTGTAACATTTTATCAGGGCTAGGTTCAATTCCTGGGGGCATGTTGCTTGGGTCAAAAGCAAGTTGTTCAACCTCAGCGAAATAGTTGATTGGATTCTTGTTTAAGACAATCCTTCCCACAGGGATGAGAGGATAATCCTTGTGAGGCCAAACCTAGAAAATGAGATAAGCATTTTATTTCGGTCTTATAGATTTCTAGAACAAAACTATGCCAACATTTCTTCTCTATATGCAGTACATGACAGAAACAAATAACAAACACACTTACCTTAGTTAAATCAAAAGGATTGAAAGGAAATCTCTCAGCTTGTTCAAAAGTCATAACCTGAATATAGAAAGTCCATGATGGATAATTGCCATGAGCGATAGCATTATAAAGATCACGCAGGCTATAGTCAGGATCTTCAGAAGCCATCCTTGCTGCCTCTTCAACCGGGAGATTTTTGATTCCCTGGTCAGTCTGAAATATGAAAATAAATCTGTTTGAACTTACATTAATAATCACATTCTAACAATTCAAATATGTTTAATGCTTGTCCTGGCTCACAGGGCAGCAGTATATGCATAATAGAGCTGTGCAAAATTTTCATAAGTTGTTGTAAGTTCCATCAAATTCATTACATTTGTCTTTATGATGCGATATCTGATACGCAGGCATTGTCCGTGCCAAAAAATTAAGAACCAAAACTTCAGCCTAGTATTTTTTCATAAATTACGTAAAGGTCATAAACTCTCTGTGGCACAGTTTTAATTCACAGAACAACCAATCACTACTGTGTGGCAAAACCAAATTTGTTGCCATGCCTCTCAGCTAATCAGGGCTGGGGGGGGGGAGGGGGTTGCAGAGGAGTGGCCATTGCTCTTTTCTTCTGCGTGGTACTGTGAAATCCACACCTGTGGTATTTCCCTGCGTCCACGCAGCTGACTCGGATCTTTCTTGAAAGCTTTTCCTAATTAGGGACTCCAGCCCCGCCCATCTACTCCTAATAAAGCCAGGCAGCGGGGCTTGGAGCCTTAATTCCTTTTGTCCGCGAAAGCAGCAACAACTCGGTGTTCTCTCCCAAAACAACTATTGGTTTGACTCAAGGACTCCAGTTTGACTACTCTAACAGACAGCAATTCCAAACTTGTGTTCTGGGACCTTTGTTTATCCTATTCAGGCCAGCATGGCATTTTCTTTGAAATGTATGGCTTATGGGGGGAAGTTGCTCCAGAGTGACTCCCACCCCCTTTGTGTTTCTTGCTAGTGGGAGGACAAACCCACTCCCTCCCTCTAAAAAAAAAATAATAAAAAAAATAAAA